AAAAAAAAAAAAAAAAAAAAAAAAAAAAAAAAGGAATGCTGGTACTTTACCAAACAAGTCCAGCTTACACAAAAACAAAGCGCAACTAAAAGTCCACTTCAGTCTATGCATCTCGGCAACTACCCCCCCACACACGTATGATACATGCACTGTCGGTGCATACGGGCGCCGCTTCTACAATTTGGTGCAGGCTGACGTCCCGCGGTGGAAAAAGCGGTAGTACTTTTCTACGCAGAAAGCAAACCCCATATGCCAAAAAAAAAAAAAACAAAAAAAAAAAAGTTACACACGGATGAAGTTCGAGTTCGAAGTTGTGGATACGTGCCAAGTGAGGAAGGTGTATGCGTCCCGCACGATGACTGGGCCACCCTAAACAGACAGGAAGTCTTAATGGGCCAGGAAAATTCTCTTCTAAAGGGAACTTGCCCCCACGCAAAAAACCAATCTGGCTAACTCCTCCAATTCCTTACAATACCCCCGGTCCTTCCCCAACAGGGGTGAACCCACAAGCTTCGAAAGACTGTCCTTGATGTAGTCCCCTGAGCAACTCTGTACGTAAAAGGTATTCCTGAAAAAGGTTATTAAGAATTTATTTCTCCTTGCCTGTAGTAAATGTAATTTTTCTGCTGTCTGTAGTGTCGCCAGGGGAACCACCTCCTTCACCAAGACCTGCCTACTCCGTTCTTGTGATGTCATGACGGGTTTACAAAAAAAAATGTCCAGGAGGGTGTGCATCAAATGGCTAAATGACGGGGTGTACTTTCCCTCCCTCTTCAAATCGACGTAAATGAGCTGGCAGAAGGTCGACTCGTCCAGCGCGGGCATGTCGCTCCGTAAGGTGGGCTCACTCAACCCATTCGCACTACTCGCCCCGTTTAACCCGTTCATAGTGTTTGCCCCGTTTAACCCATTCACATTGCTCGCCCCGTTTAACCCATTCAGACCGCTCGCCCCGTTCAGCCTGGCTGTTGTGGAGGACCCCTTCGACATCTCCCCCATGCTACCCCCGCGCCACAAAATTTTATTCTTAACCAAAGTTGCAATCGATGCGTGGAACGTGGTGGCATACTCTTCCAGGAAATGTATGTACACCTGGAAGAGGCACGACGTCAGGGTAGTCATCTGGCTGGAAGAGTCCTGCCCCGCTTTATCACCACCAGCGTCTGTTTCCTCAAAAGGGAGATGCTGCGTCGCGTGTTTGTCCTGTCCATGTTCATTCACACAATCTCTCTTCTGTGTTTCCTCCTCATCCCCCTTCACGACCCCCCACTGGTGATCCTTCAACAGCCCATTCCCCACCTTAGCTTCCCCCTCTAGTAGATGCTGCAAAATGACAAACGAGTCACTCAACACTCGCATGTACACGTGGTTACTACACAAGGTATACAAATATCGGTTACTAAAAAAATTTTCATAAAAATTACAAATGAGTCGACCTGGAATTTGAAATGTGCTATCCCTAATAATGAAAAGAAGGTAGTGGGAAATGAGAGCAGATATAACGAGGGGGAAGTAAATCTTTGCGCTGCTATGGTAGTAGTCCATGCCAGACCGCTTGATACGATTCACCATAACAATATGCTTGTGCTCTTCTTCTCGCTGCTCCAGTAACCTATACTCATCGTTCACGTATATAAAGAAGAGGAAAGTTTTTTGTATCTCTCTCATGAGGTTTATATCACCTATTATGTTTAGGAAATTGTGTGGCAAAACTTTCATCAGGTCGAAGTAGACGAAGAGGGAAATGATGTTCGCTTCTTCAATTGGTTCGCTCGTGCCTTCCTCGGTTGGAGCTAGCGGTACATCGAGGGAAGAGCTGTGCCCTGTCTGGGCAGCCTCGTCACCATTTACATGCTCAGCAGCCACTTCACGCGCCGCCTTGTCCACGCCCCGTTCGTACAAATTCAAAAAGCGCAGCAACACGTTGAGAGTGTACTGCAGGTGCACATGGAAGGTGCTGAAAAAAATCTGCATCACCTCGAGAGACAGTTCTTCAGATTGTATACCTTTCAGGAGAATTCCATAAAAAAAAATATAATTTTTTCCAACGTCATTTATAAAAAATTGCTTCTTCAAAAAGGAAAGTAACAAATTCTGTTTTTCATTGTTATAAATACTTTTTGTAAATAGCCGCTCGTTCCTGCTCTGCACAACAGTGTCTTCTTTACCCCTTCCCGACAAGACGTGAAACAATATCTTTGTGAGCATCGTCAGGGCTAGGGTCTCTTCGCCCTTGTTCATTTGAAGTCCCAGTAGTCTCCACAACCTTCTCGAGATAATAAAAAAATATGGGTTCCTTGCCGAGCTGATGTAGAAGAGGAACTCCACGACAGCTGTGCATATTGTATAACACTTCAAGGTGTCATTTGAAAAACATTTTAACTGGTGAATGATTATCATGCATAGCAGTTCGTACGGGAACTCGAAGTAGCATGCGAGGTGATGACTCCTTCCGTCCTTGCCAATCTGTACTTCGCTTTCCCCGTCTGCATATACCTCCATTTCGCCTTCCACTTCCCCTTTGCGCTGCTCGTCGCAGCTAATGGGCGCGTTGCCGCCACTGCGTCCGTCCCTACGGAGGGGAAGCTTCTCCCTCATGCGGGCCAGATCGCCCCCTCCACTTTCCAGCAGGACAACCCGCAACTTCTTCACAAATTCTGCATGCACCAGGCAGTGCTTAAAATGAACATAACAGTACCGGTGGCTACTCACCTCCTCCATCACATTTGCGTAAATGATTCCCAGTACGTTTAGAACGATGAGGTCGCATGGGTGTGTCGTCCCCCATTCGTCACTTGCTCGTTCTGACTCGACTTTCGTGTTAGAATTCTTGCCCAGGTAGCGTCTACCACGGGAGTTGGCGCTACTATAGGAGTCCTCACCACTGAATGACTCACTCCCATTATCACTCTTATCAGGGCTACCCCCTCGGCGGGAGCGCCTCTCTGCCCCACTAGACGTATCACAAGATGTGCCCCTCCGTACGCTCCATTTCCCATCTTCAAAACAGTACAATTCCCGGTTGAAGGCTGAAAACTGACTCCTGCCCCCCCCATGGGACAGCTTGCCCAGTTTGCCCCTCTCCGTTGCATACGCGTTGAGCTTAGTTAGCACACCATTAGGGCAATACACAAATACAGAAAAGAGCACGCACTCGATGGACTTCATATACATAAGGAACTCATTTGTGAAGGGTTCCTTTTCCTTCCCTGCATCTGTGCATCTGGCAAAATGGAATCTATACACCATGAGCAATTTTGTGTACTTGGTAAACATGTCTAGCAAGACGTACTTTATTCTCTTCATAACGGTTTGCATCTTGTTCGGCGGCTTGCTTGGCGACCAGCGACGATGTGCCGCGCGATAGTCGCTTCTCGCAAAGGAATGAAGACGACTGGTCCGTCTCTCATCACTGAGTGCCCCCTTACCAAACCTATTCCACACAAAGCCAAAAACATATTTGAAAAAAAAAAAGTACTTATTAATTTTTTTTTCCAAAAATATAAAAATGTTGATAATTCGATTAATGCTCTTCCCTCTAAAGTCTTCCTTGCATTTATTTAAAAATTTCCTGTTCAGACAGAGCGTCCGGTAGAGTGACTTTACAACACGTGGTTCTGTCGATTCGCTAGCTGAGTGGGTAACTCCGCCCGTTGCTTCCAACACCTTTTCCTCCTCTTCAAAAAGCACGCAGCAGAAAAATATAAAAATTTCATTATTCACCCGATTGATCTTTTCCAAAATGGCGTAGAACAAGCAAAACAACATGTAGCAAGTTTCCTTAAAATTGTGCGTATACTGCTGGAGGCACTTCCCCACTTGCGCAATTCCTTCCCCCCTCCCAAGGAACATCTCACTGAAGAATGCCTTATTGTGGAGGTAGATACAGATCTGGTCAATAACTTTATTGAAGCATTTATAAAAGAGCATGGTTCGTTTCGGTGTCTGCTCAATATTTTCATTGTAAAAGGAAACCAGCATGTGCATGGTTTTCAATATGTCAGTGAAGAATAGGTTAAGGAAGAGGACGTCCTTCTTCTGGTAAAAGCATTTTATAATGTCACTTAGCACATTGTTAAAAAAGGAAAATAATTTTGTGAGTGAGTCTTGTTTCAGGTGGTGCGCTACTTTCATCGCTTTCAACAAGGTGCACACAAGAACTTTTAATATGTATAAATTGGAGGTCCACGACTTAATGGCGTATACAAATATACTCCTATCCTCATTCATTCTTGCATCATGGGAGTGTTGCTCTATCAAGTCTACACTTTTCATGCACACAATTTTGTCTTCAAAGGTACAAATGTATACATGTCCAGGTGTGTCTTCTACACAAGTTCTTAATTTTGCTCCTCTGTCCTTTTTACTATCACTTTCGGAGGTTACATCATTGAGCAAATATTTTCCGAACGGCGTGATTTCCTTTCGTACTTGTTCACCACACTGATCGGTTGTAAATTTTGCACTATGTATCCCTACATGCTGCTTATGGTGGGCCTCCCCAGAGGGGCGGGAAAGACTCCTCTTCTGAATGACCAACTCGTTCACATACTCATTATACGTATCACAGCCAACCAGGCCCTGCGCTAACAAAGCATGCACATGGTTAGTTAAGCTCAAACAAAAGTCGATTAAGGAGAAAAGCACATTGGAGTAATTATCCTCATGTTGTATAACATAATTAAGCCATTTGTTTATTTCCTCCTTGGAAATATATTTCAATTCACACTGGGAAATTAAAATGTGTAGGAAGTCTGGGTCCCCTTTATTTTGTTCTTCCCAAGTGGCATAACCATCTATCATGACGCTCGTCAGTTCGAGCAGAACATTGTACACGTTGCTTGCTTCATTCAAATGCAACTCCAGGTAGGAAGACAGCAAAGTCTGGAATATATTGTCATTATTAAAATTGAAAGAGATACACACTTCAATAATGTCCAGCTTATTAATCCGTTCTATAACTTTTTTAAAACATATGTAATCTGTTAGGGGTCCATATTTTTTAACAAATGTGTTGTAGGAAAAAAGGAATTCATAATACTTATTTTCTTCTTTTAATTTGTTCAAAAATGTAATTACATTTTTGATAATTTTGGAGAAAATATGTTTTTCATATTTTATATGGTCAAACATGTGCAACGTATTTTGCATCAATTCGGTATGGTCTTGTTCTTCTTCCCCTTCTTCCCTTTTGTATAATCCCCGGGGGCTACCATTGTTACTCCTACTATAATCCCCTTTGGGCATACACCATTCTTTCACAACCCCTTGGCCATTTGTGCTGCTTTCATTGAACATCATATACCTTTATGTAATTGCGCATCTTTAAAAAGAGGAGAATATGTCGAATGTGTTCCACTCGAAAGGTACTCGAAATGGGATACACCTTAACTGTATGTATGTGCGTATTACGTACGTATGTATGCACGTAAGCATTATGTGCATTTAGCTAGTTCTTTATTTTTTCTCACTTGCTAACCCTTGACCTTTTTCTTTGTTTTTGCGCCAAATTATTTGAATACTTAAAAAAAAAAAAAAAGAAAGAAAGAAAGAAAACCTCCGTCGTGAATGGATGAAATGGTGCTTTGCTTTCACGTAAGGGGGCAAAAAAAAAAAAAAAAAAAAAAAAACAGCCAAAAAAGGGCACCAAGGAAATAGGGAAAAAAAAAAAAAAAAAAACAGCCAACAGAATAGCGAAAAAGAAAGAAAAAAAAAATCTAAAAAGAACGAAAATTAACCAAAAATATATGAACAAGCCAGGCATTCATCAGAATAGAGAAATACATCAAGAGGGACCTTTGCGTATTTTCCCCAAATGCCTTTTCAACAGTGTAGAAAATAACACACACACACAATTGCGATGCGGATTGTCCCTATTATTGTGTTGCTGCTTCCTACTTTTGTGGGGAACCTCCGACAAGTGTCATTCATTTCACCCAAGGGAAGCAACACAAAAGGACTGGAGTTGTCAACTGTGGAATAACCCCAGCTAGCTATTTAAAAAAATATATATATATGAACGGTGTATAATTTTTTTTTTCAATTAAGTTTCATAACAACCTGAACAAGTCATCACTTTTCAACAATTCTATACAGAGTAAAAAAAAAAAAAAAAATCACAAAGCATTATATCGTTTGTAATAAAACGAAAACGCCAGTAACTACTACACACTGTGCGTTTTTCCGTTTAAAAAAAAACGCGCAGTGGCCTTATTTTGGTCATTTTTTTTTTTTTTTTTCCCCTAAAGTGGGCAATACGGAAAAGGGGAAAAGAGGGGACAGTGCAGAAAACGGAGATCAACATGAAGTGACCCAAAACAGTTCGCCAAAAATATTGTACGTTATATATTTTTTTGCTGCTTGAATTTTGAAAAGGAGGACACGTGTGCCACATGAATGTTGCACTGCGGAAGTAGCAAACTTGCTTTCCCATCTGCGATCTCCTCGCACCGAAGGTACATTCCCAACCTCAGTACAACACATCTTCATTATTTATATCCATCAACTTTCCAACGTCGTGTAGCATCTACGAAAAAACGCGCGCAGGAAAGGGGCAACATGTGTATATATAGTAGTAGCGCATCGCCCCTTGTGAGAACTGCCGCTTTGTACCGCAAGCGACACGTCAGTATATAGCCCTACTTCCATTTGGTCATAAATGTCAACTGCTGGAATTTTAACGAGCACTACGGGTTCGCGCATCAAATCGATGGGGACTGTGGGGAGGGAAACAAATGTACAATAATTATTAGCATGTGGACTACCAGTGCGCACGTACATGCTTGCAATGGATGGCCCAGCTGGCTTGCATTATAATCGTGGGCACGCCCTACTAACCATCAATTTCTGTGTCAACGTCAAAATGCTCTCCGTCCGCTTTGGCTTCCATCAGGTCGCCACCCCCTGCGCCGTTCTCCGCATGATTGTATGTGATGGACATTCGCTTGTCTGAAAAGGTACATGGAAGGCGAGATGGGGCGTTGCGCAGGTTTTGTTGTGAAGGTTTTTTTGCGCAGGACCCACCCCCTGGCTGCCCCCTCCGCAAGGCGCGGTCTGCCCATTTTTAGTATCACTTTTCCTGGTGCGTCCGCGCAAGTCGTGGGGAATTTGCAGCGACAAGTCCGTTTGCCCCTTCAGCAGAGCCCCCAGTTCTCTCCCCGCGGCATGTATTTTGTTCATATCAATAGCGCCCGCTAGGTCTTCCTGCAGCTTGCCATCCTGCTCATCATGAAGCTTTATTTTCATTAATTTTTCCCGCTGCTCATTGGACAAATTTGCGGAATAGTCCCTATAGTACACATTCAGAGGCCGTTGCATTCGCTTGGCCGTGAGGCCAAATTGTTTGTCCAATGAAAGGGACAGGAAAAAGGAAAAAATAAAAAAAAGAGGAGTCATTTTGTTTTGGCGCAGTGAGATTTTGCACTTTTTCTTTTGGTAGGGCACGTGGTGGAAACAAAAAAAATCACACAATTGTCAGATTGATACAATGTCGCTTTGTCTCTTTACCAGTTTGCCGATGTGCCGATTTGCAACCAGTGGTGGTGAGAACCCCGAAGAAGCACATGTGGACCAACATCAGATTGTGGACAGAGCGCGTATTCCGCAGACGGGGGGTAAATGAGGCTAGACATTCCTGTTGCATTTCCTACACCTGATGGTGTGAACAAATGCACCTTCGCACTTAACCTACAGCCAATTGTGTACATACAACGGACAAAAAAAAAAAAAATATAATAATAAAATAAAAAATGAAAAACGAAGACGAGCGGTGGTGGGAGAAAATAAGTGTTTCGCCTGAAACATCACATTTCACAACGTTGCACCCTTTGATGATTGGCATGTGTCACCAATTTGAGACATCCTTCGCGGTGACTTCCTCCCAAGTGTGTCCCTTTTAAATTGACTTCCCTCCCGGTGTGACCCCTTTCCACTTGTACACATGAACAAGGGGCAGCTACATTGATTGCTACCCCTTTTGCGACGTTGCTTTGTTGTGCCGCACGGACCGGCTGATCGTTTTTGCAGCTGACGCGCAGGAAAGGTAAATTTCCATGCTGCACAGTTAATACCATTTTTGCGAAAAAGTTCTGAACAGCCAGGTGAAAATGGGTTTTCCCCTTTCTTTTTTTTTTTGCGAGGCGTCCCATATGTGGGGATTTTTTTTTTTAAGATAACCTAGTAGGTTTGCGCCTTTCCGAGGTAGAGCGTTCCAATTGTAGTGGTCTCTTCCTACAGCAGGTCGTGAGAATGACGCGTCAGTGACATGTTGAAAAAGGGAAATGCACAACTCGTGTGCTTGTCACGGCTAGGCCAAGAGCTCCCTTCAAACGTTGCGTCGCTATTGAGTAAGCGGGTTGGGCAGCTGCACAGTGTGGCTTATTGGACGAGGTGTGCCCCCTTGACTGCTCAACCGCTTAATCGCCTAACCTAACCAACACTGCAAAAAAAAACAAGCGGCTAAGTTGAGTCAGGTACAGATGGGTGAATTGCGCCAATTCGTAAACCACTACGCGTCAGAATGTGCACGCTACTGGGTCAGCCCCGGGTTAGAGAAAAAAAAAAAAAAAAAAAAAGCTGTGCATGGGAAGCGCAAGGAAATTGCTTCACCTCCCTTTTAACCCACTTTTTTTTCTACCCCTTTTTGTGGGATGAACACTCAACATATTTTCCGCTAAGGGGTTCTGGAGAGACACCCGCTTGACACTACTTGCATGGAAGCGACAGAACGGCTGCTCTCCCCCCCCCCATCCTACCCAAAATGATCCCACGTACGGCTCGCCATGCGTAAAAAAACACACACCCCTTTGTTGGTGGTGTACCTGATAATCCTAATTTGCGTCCTACACAGTTCACTAGAATGTGTGAATGTAACTCCTCAGAGGAGGAAGTGGGCAACGGTTAGAAGCTCGAGACAGGAAAAGGAACAAAGGAGAAACAAAAACAATCGCATGAGGTGTACCAATTTGTACATTACCAACGGTGGAGTGATACGAAAAAGGCAAAAACAGATTTGTAAAAATTTCTTCAAATTGTATAGAGGGCGTGGAACGACATGTTCATACGAATGGACAGAAAGAGATGAGAATGTGGAGGTGAAGATATGTTTAGCACCGGATGTTACATCTGATGATATTCAATGCACATTAAGAAGTGATTACATATTTGCTAAGCTGAAAAACAAACCACAGAGTCTTATAGAAGGGAAGCTAAAAGGGCAGGTTGATTTAAACCAGTCTACGTGGTTCCTCGAAAAGTATAAAGACTACTCCCTTTTTATTATTCATTTGAAGAAGAAGGATAAAGGAATAAACGAATGGGTAGGGGTAGTGGAAAAGGAAAATATTCTTCACGTATCATATGATAACGCTTCTTCAACAGATAATGAGTTTAGTGCAGCCAAACATGTAAGTACCCAACCAGGTGATGTACTCCTTAAGCAAATATTCCCCAATGCCAAGGCTGATGATGTGTTTAGTTTTGTCCTCAAGTGGGCAAACACTAAATCTAATGGGCCAAGCGAGTTTGGTATCCCCAGGATGAAATTAAAAACGACCGTTATGAATGATCAGCACGAAATAGAAATTATCATTTCAGGGTATGACTTAAAGTGGGAGGCAGAAGACAGCTTGATAATAAAATTTACTTCGTTACAAAATGGAGTAGAAGTTGTTGTACATAGAGGGAAGGTAGCTAGTGGTGTTAGAGGTGTACATGGAAACATGATCAGTTTTTTAGTTAAAGAATGCGAAAATAGAATATTGAAAAAGCTACAACATGATTTGAAGGGAGTCTTTTATTTAAATCCTATGTCACAAAAGGTAGACACACTTATGCATGGACATACACCCCAGACTAATTATAATTATGTGTCGAGTGATAAGGTGGGCCCACAACACATCTCCATTAATAAGGAAGAGGCAAATGAAAAATGTGCACACAGTAGTAACATCAACACGGTAAATGATCCTCAAGGAGCAACGAAAAGGGACCAGGTAAAACATATAAAGAAAGATTCCCCACAGGAAGAACTAATCGTTGAAGAATTGAAACTCCATGCCAAGGTAAACCTAACATGTGATGATAAATCTAAAGAACCAGCATTTATGAAAAACTGGTCAGAGGAAAAAAAGGTAGAGTTCAGACGAAACTCAGTTTTGCAGTTAAAAAAAAATTTAGAAATGTCCCAGGAGAATAAACTTATTATGAAGCTCGAGGACTACGTCAATTACATGAAGATGTGTTTTGACCTGACAGATGAGGAGGCGAAGTTGGTTTGGAAGAAGGGCATGGCAAAATCAGACGAACAGAAAAGCAAGGAACGCTTTTACAGATTCATGGAGGTCGAGAAACTCACTGATAGGATAGGTGTGGTGGTTCCAGGGGGGGAAGAGGCTAACACAGAAGGTGGGGGGGTTGTTGAAGCGGATGAAACATTTTCCTATTGCCATACAGAGAAAAATCCCTCCTTCACAGACTTAACGAAAAAGGACACGTTACATGATGAGGAAGGAAGAACAAGTGAAGACAGGGACCAAAATAATATCAACAGGCGCTTCTTCAACTGTTTGGAGGAGGAATTACTCGACCCAGAAGACAAGCCAAAATTGACTTTATACGAAATATATAGCAAAAGTGACACAGGGGAAAAGGACAAAATGAGGGAAAAATGGAAAATGAATGAACTCAGATTAAATACGCTCATTAATGAATTGGCTTACTCAGAGGAAGACATGATCCCTACTATCTGCAACAACTACCGAGATGTGCTACTGAGCGATGAGTACGCTTGTCTCATGCAAATCAGGCTTCAAGAATCACCCCCTCAAACTGAACAAGATAAAAAAATATTAAAAATAATTAACTCGTTCGCATTGAGTCTGTACGATGATATAAAAATTGTCATGGAACATGAGGAGAAAGAACATTTAAAAAAAATTCAACTCATTTGTGAAAAGGCTGTGAATGACGAGAAAGGGTTGAATGATTTTATCGAGTCCATGAAGCCCCTCCTCGATTATTCCTTCCTTGGTTATATAAAACATGCCATACGAATGGAAAAGAAGAAACTCAAAATGGAGAATAAAGACTTCAGAGAGCAACCCTCAGATTGGCTAATCATCCTAATGATTATTCAAAAAGGAATTTATTCCATTTTAGAAAAAGACATATGGGAAGACGTAATTCACGTGACTACCATTATATGCCAAGAGCAACCCAGTGTACGTAAGACCATGCTGACCACTATGGTTGCCTCCATGCCGAAAGCGGACTGGATATTTTTTAAAGATGTTATTAAAACGATATACAAATGTGTACAAGAAAGAAAACTCACAGCTAACCATTTTCCTGACTTCCCTCATATCCCGGAAGCCATTTTCCAGCTGAATTATGACATTGAGAAAATTTTGCCTGACTGGTTCATAAAGGAAATGCTGGACGAGTACGACAAGTCCGTGGTGGAGTTAATGAAATCGAGGAAGCCCCTGTTTTGGAAAATGAAGGAGACCAACTGGGATAAGAAGTTCGTGCAGGACTTCAAGCAGCTCCAGGTGCAGCAGTTCCGCCAGTACGAGCGCCACGCGGGTGGGGGGCCCACGTAGGCTTCACACACAGTTCTGCCCATTACCCGGTTAGCGGGTTAGCGGCTTGGCTGGTGCGCGACAGCCAGGACAATACTGCAACGGGCCATACGTACCTACTGCTGTTACCCCCACTGAACAATTTTTTTCAAGTTCGTTTGCACAGATCGGTTCCTGCTCAACACATCACTGGAAAAAATGTCGACGCGAAGAAAAAAGGGATGAACGGACGGTCTCCAAAAAAAAAACCCTCACCGTCTATATATTGTATGTGTATTTCATAATTTCCCCCCTTTGTGGAACAAGAAGCCATATGTCACACGTTAAATATAACAATCTGCTTTTGCCAAATAGGTGCAGTGCTACGGGGAAAATATTTGACCAACATGGGTGGGGGGGGCGGAGGATGAGCCCGCTGCGTGTAAAAAGCGGCAGTGCCAATATTGAAAAAAAAAAAAAAAAAAAAAAAAAAATATAAGCGGTGTAGTAAGCAGCGCACCAGTGAAAACATTATGTGTGGGGAATCATTTACCCACCCCCCGAATGGAAGTCCGTGCCCCAATTGTGCGAAAGCTTATCAGCTAATGAAGCACCGCCTTTGTGTCATAACCACACCGCCGTGCGTGTTCTTTTTTTTTTTTCTTTTTTTTTTTTTTTCATTTTTTCATTCCTTTAATCTCTTTTACTATTTTTCTCGTTTATCCCTACACCGCTTGTGTGTTTTTTTTGTGGTTTATTTGTAGCCCCATTTGCATGACTCGCGTGAAACTGAAATGGTCCGCGCCAAAGTTGGGTCCATATATGACACAGACTCGTCTACACGTTGCAGAGTCCTCAAATGGCCCCAGCACCAGAAACCAATATTTTATCCTGACCCCCACGCGGCATGAATAAAGTAAAATATGTGTCCCTGTTGTGGAGACACAAGGTGGTATTTAACACGGCGGGGCACAGACGCTATCATCGTCACGCTGCAACTCTGGAAAAGAAATTTTACTCAAGTGGGAAATGTTAGTGTGGGTTGAGGATGGGGACGTCTTTCCCCCCCCTCAGTTGCGAAAAATAATAAGACAATTTTTTTTTTTTTTTTTTTGCCCACGGGTTGGAGCTTTTTCCTGTTGTTCATATCATACCCCATTCCGCCCATCGCAGATACGAGTACCGTTAAGCGCGTAAAGTGCCACAACTGCCACCGCGACATCTGCCTTGACGTGGTTCCCCTCAGTTGTCAAGTAAGTTGTAGGTCCTTCCTCGCCCCAAGACGGAGATTTTTTTGGGGGGGTAGAAAAAGTGCAACTACCTATACACTGCCGTGTGTGTCTACATGCTTATTTGCAAACAGACCAGTGCTCCTTTGGCGAGTTCATGAAACCTAACCTCCATGTTGGCTTCCCCCTTCACCTTTGCAGACCTGCAGCGCGCTACTTCACGTGGACGCATTCAAACAGTTTAACTTCTTTGAGCTTTTTGGCCTGTACGGACTTGCGAAAGGGGGTACCCCTTTTTCCCGGCAGTGAAACCCTGGATGGGCTCTGCCTCGACATCGTCACCGCAGTGCAGCCCCATCATATAGCAACCACACCGCATTGTAGCTTCCCCCACTTCGCCCCCTTCAGACGAGCCACCTACGACATAGACAAAGGACACTTAAAAGAAAAATTCAACAACATACAAAAGTTGTATCACCCCGACAAACATGCGCAAAATGAGCAGGTAGGTCCAACCGTATAGTCCTACCTGGGTTGTGGCATATGTGCGCATAGTTGCATGTATGCTTCATAAGTTGTGATATATGTTTTTTTTTTTTTTGCCCTCCCCACGTGGCTAAAGCGTGAACAGATAAACGAAGTCTCAAGTTACCTGAACAGTGCATACAAAACTTTGCAAAATGACGTCGACCGAGCCCTCTACCTGTTGAACATCCAGTACAACTACAAGGTGAGCAATTTTGAAGAGGACAAGTAGAGTTCTTTTTTTTTGCCACTGCCCCTTCCTTTTTAACATACATGGATCATATGTATATGTATATTTTATTTAATTGCTCGTACCATTTTGTGCACTGCTATTCGCGTGTGCGCCTTTGCCAATTTGACTCCTTGGGATGATCTCCCCCCTCATTATGTACCTGGCGAGAACAGTTGTAACGACACACATGTTGCCGTCCACTGTGCACCCCATTTTTAAGATCCCGGAGGAAGAGAACCTGGAGGACAGTGAGTTCCTGGCCGAAATTATCGAGGTGAGTTCATACGTGTGAATTGTGCTGCCCTCACGAGACCTGAGTCAGCGTGCACACATTGTTCTAACATCCCTCATTCGTTGTCGCGTCGCTAGGTGAACGAACAGATCGGAGACCCTGAGGCGAATATTACCCTGATGACCAAGTAAGGGAGGGGAAAATGACAAAAGACGCCCTACTCCATCATGCACACATGCGACCCTGCATGCTATTCAAAACTTCACCAAAACCACTCCAACCCGCAGGCAGTACAAGGATAAGTACCAGGACCACGTCGAAAAAATTAAACTCCATTTTGACACAGGGGTAAACAACAAATACGGCTACTTTGCCTCGCCCACTTGTGCAGATTTGCATGAAACTGATTTGGCACACCTGGGGGTGAATGCGAATGTGAAAGGAGTTCCTTTGGTTAGAGCACTTCTTTCGTACCATCACGCACACACATATATGTAGCGCTGTTTGTGTGTTCAATTTTGTTTTGCCTGTCCCCCTTCCCCCTCCCATTCACACATTCTTTTTACGCGCCCATTCGCGCCTCCTTCGCAGGATTTTGAGCATATCTTGAAGGCCCTCAAAAAATTGAAGTTCATAAATAGAATATTGGACCGTCTTCAAAACGTTTGAGGAAGAGAGAGAGGACAGTAGCGCTCTCCCCTACGAACGCACGTGACGCATTCCCTTCCTCTTTCAACATTTGAAATGGAAATATTTGCCTGCGCCATTTGCACTGAAGTAGTTAAAATGGACATAGCTTTAGTTCATTAAAAAGGATACATATACATGTTTTATTTTATTTTATTTTTTTTTTTTTTGGCCATGCAAGAGTGCAGCACTTGGGGGATGGGGCGTACATTTCGCCTTAACACGTGTCCAACATGTCCTGCGCGAGTTGCACATGTAGGTGTCTACCCCCACGGCGGCGTACGGAATGGAGGTTGCTACTCACGTGTGTGCCTGTCGTTTCGCCCCCACCCCGATCACAGTTTCAATGCGCGTGCAGCTTGTATGACTTGTTAAAAATTTTTGTGGAATAAATTTCAATGAGCCACCTGAGTGCTCCGTGCACACACAGGCCCAGCAGTGCGTCGTTGTACACGCGTAGTCCGTAATATATGGGGAGAATCAAGCAGACAATGTAGAGCAGGTAGTTCTGTATCACCTGCTTGGCCATGCCCAAAAGTGTAAATTGGAGTGATTTCCTTGCTGACTGGTCAGGCGAAATGGACTCCAAATTTTTGGCAATACCTTCGATGGGTGATTTGTATATAATGTAGGAGATTATGGATCTGTTGTACAGGTCTTTAATGAGGAAGAAAACTTTGTTCCATTTTTTGTCTCTCGGGTTAGGGGCGTCCACGGGTTGTTTCACCACACTCGCTGGGTTATTCGCTTGGCCACTCGCTTCGCAAATCGCTTGATCCGTCGTTGCGCCTTCCCTTGTGGGAGATTTTCCACCTGGGTAACACCCCGCAGTGAGGGACGCGCCCCTTTTGTCCAGCGCAGCCGACTCGTGAGCAATCGTCTTAAGCCTCTCAGAGTAAAAATTTACAAAAAGGAATATCGTATCATGTGCATAGGTCGCTAAACCGTTAAAGCAAAGAAGAAATGTCTTAATCATATGTACAGTCATTTTTTTTAAAAAGTCCATATTAGAAAAGTACTTGGCCTTGTAAGTGTTAAATAAATCAGTTTGCTCCAAAAAATTCGTGTCTCCTATTTTGTTCTTCCAGAGGTGACAATAATGTGTGTTCAAATGGAAAGAGCAACTGAGCAACGTTAAGGTGAATACACATCCAATAGCCACCTCAATGAATAACCTAAGCGTGTCATTACTTGTACAGAGCATTATAAGTCCTATCACTCCTAATATGTGCACGCTGATCATGTACGTTGCAACGTTGCTCTTAACATTCTTGCAATAATTATTAAAATAAAAATTTAAAAATAAAATTGCATATGTTAAATATAAAGCCAAACTTGCAATTGCATTCTTCACGTATATTTGATTGTCCACATTTTTTATAGCGTAGTAGGAAATAAAAATGCCAATGAACATTTGAAGTATTTGCAAACATGTTATAAATTGCCTGACCTTGTACAGAACTTTTGGTAAAATATATATAAAGCCAAAATAAAAATACATGATGCTATGGACCACTAAGTTCAGGAAGACAAAGTAATGCGCGTGAGAAACTAACTCCTTCTGAGAATACAAACAATATATTACTACACTTAAGTGATGGTAGCTGTGTAAAAATGTTAATTTTTTTTTTTTTAAAATTAAAAATATCGTGTCTCCATACTCCACTACTTTTGTCAACGTGAAAATGCTGATGACTGCTCTTGTTTCCGGCCTGTACTCTGTCTCCTCCACAATTATACTCTTTAGCACACTTGGGTCATATATAAGGATTAGTAGCACTCCAATAAGGGACAACAGCGACAGGCATACGTTCCATGCCACCTTCAGCGCCTTGGCCTCTATCTCCTTTCGCCTCCTCATAACCTTTTGCAACACCAGCACTGTGGGGAGGTACAACAGCGAGATGAGCAGGATCGTTTTCTCGTACTTGCCCGCCAGTTCCGTGCCCTTCCCGGGCGCCCAGAATGCTCGGCTCAGGGGGCCCCAGGCTCTCATGGCGGCATTTACACGGTGAACCTCGGGGGCGCACAGCGTCGTGGTGTCCTGTGTTGCCTCGTGATGCCTTATGTTGGTATATACTTCGCGCCGTTGCACAAGTCTCTCTCACGGGGAAGTGCCTCGGTGTATTGTTTTGCAACTGTGTTGTTCTTAAATTTGTTGCCGTCGATTTTTATTTGTTCTATTGTTGACAAGTCAGTTGGGCATTTCTTAACTAGCTATTTTTTTATTGCTCTTCATTAGTTTTTTTTTTTTTTTTTTTTTTTTTTTTTTTT